TGCGTTTCCAGCCAAGCTGGATCTCTGAGATGTTTTCAAGTGAACTTTGAGATTGAATTCAGCTGTTTTAATATAATAGGGCACTGTCAAATTGTATTTTCTTTACCCCATTTATGTCTAAACCCCAAAAGGACGAATGTGAAGTAATTAGGTCACCTGTGAAATTAAAAGAGGTCTTCAGAAACCACAATTTCTTTCACATTTCATCTTAGCACACACACCTTCACTCACTTCAGGAAAATAGAGAAAAATCATGACTGAAATATTAAAATTACATTGTTTCCAAGTGGTCAGTCTGTGATATTTAATCACAAACAGAAACAAAACCAAACATGACTAAGAAACCTCCTTCGTGAAGATGACAACCTGCAATACAATGATTACCGAAGTCATATTTCCACAATAATTTTCCACCTTTTGCCTACTAAGACCTAAAACATTGCCATTTCATAAGTATTTAAATGCATCATATCACAGACAGATTTTTTGATTTGTGATTTGAGATACACTGTCCTGGAGCACATCCTATTTTAAGGCATCATTATATCTCCTTCCGTTAATTAATTTCACAGCTAATCCACCGAAATGTGAATTGCGAGTTGCATTTAAATACAAATTGCATAACTTGTGCATGTGTGTGCAACAGCTAACAATATCACCAGCAACACTGACGTCAATGAATGGTTCCACGTCAAAATGTGCTTCGTTTCAACAGGTTTGGACTTCTCTGATGTGATCCATTTTTGGACATGTGATACATTAAACACGTGGCATATTTATCAGCACATTAGACAGAAATTTGGACTTTTTACCAGTCGAAACAAAGCATATCTAATGTAAAATAAACCTCAACAAGGACAGAGAAGTATTATGGAAAAATTTTAGAAACATTAACAAAATCACATGATGGATGATTAGCCATTTCAGTTACCATGACCAAAGCAAAGAGTAATCGATTCAAAAAATCGTCTGAAAACATACTGGTGCATATTTGTATAGGTTTTCCATTTTTTTTTGTTCTTTTTTATTATTATTATTTTCATCTGCTTGCTAACATAGCTTTTGTAAGTGCCTCAACAAAAAAAGTGCATTAGGAAATAACTATGATCATACACGTTTCACGAGAACACACGAGACAAGAGGAGGGAACAAGAACACAAATGCTTTTTTGCAAAAAGAAAACATTAAATATACGATTGAAAAATTTTTTTTTTTTTTTTTACAAAAGTGGCGGAGCTTTGCACCCTGCTTTCAAAAAACAGGTGTCCTGGTCATGTCCAGACCTTTTTTTTTTTTTGTTTTTGTTTTTTTTGTTTTTACAAAAAAAGTGTAATCCCTTTTATTTTTCACTCTTTTTACAATATCTAAAAGGTATTAAGACATCAAATGTGTTGACATAGATATTTGATACTATTATTCAGGCCTAACTCACCAAAGAAATCCCGAAACAAACTTTATAAATACATACAAAAAAGCACAATAAGAAGTTCAACAACAAGTCTGGTACCTAAATGTGATTAAAACTGCAGAAAGCATTCCTGGCTTAAATCTACCTATCCACACACCTGGAATTATACTGGAACTACAGAAACAGTATGAGTAAAAATTACTGACATCCATCATCAAGTGGTGGAGCTTTGCACCCTGCTTTGAAAAAACAGGTGTCCTGGTCATGTCCGGACTTTTTTTTTTGTCGTTTTTGTTTTTACAAAAAAAAGAAAGAAAGTGTAATCCCTTTTATTTTTCACTCTTTTTACAATATCTAAAAGGTATTAAGACATCAAATGTGTTGACATAGATATTTGATACTATTATTCAGGCCTAACTCACCAAAGAAATCCCGAAACAAACTTTATAAATACATACAAAAAAGCACAATAAGAAGTTCAACAACAAGTCTGGTACCTAAATGTGATTAAAACTGCAGAAAGCATTCCTGGCTTAAATCTACCTATCCACACACCTGGAATTATACTGGAACTACAGAAACAGTATGAGTAAAAATTACTGACATCCATCATCATCCTGATGATTACTAAATATCACGCTCTTCAGTCTAGGATCATTTCGTGTTTGTTTGTGTTCTCATTTGATGGTTTAAAACAAAAGCGAAAGAAAATTAAATCAGCTTGATGTTGAAAACCAAAGACACTGCATTTCGTAATTAGGAATGAATTGTTTCCGAATGGCATTTTGAGCCGTCGCAGTCCCATCTGGATGAGTGGCATCTCTCTTCTCACAGTGGAAACAGGACAGACATACAGTATGAAATGGACAGTCTACAGACAACATCAGCCATGCAAAGAAGCCCCTACAGCCGTGGACGTATCAAAACCTCGGCTTCTCGTTCACATTGCGATAATATCCAGCTTTTATGCTTCCTGTTCGAAATGCCACCCGGTATGGCGAGTCTCCAAGGATGAAGTCATAGAGGGCAAAACAAACACATCTATTGACATTTCAGGACATGGGACATTTTCAGGCCAGGTACACTTTTCATTTTTTTTTCTTTTAGCGATCCAGGTGTAGATGTTCTTTTCGCGCAGCTCCTCGTAGGACTGGTGATGTTCGATAAGAGAGTGTCAGACAGATTTGGTGAGCCAGTGAGTTTGTTGAGGGCTCAATGAAGCCTTAGAGGAAGATCAGGTTCCTCTTCACATGGGAGGGACAATCAGACCGGCCATAGCTGCAACAGACAACAAGAGGTCAGTCGACAATAAACGAGACAGTTCAAATAACACATGATCTATTTGAACCATAAAACGACTGGTTTATGGTTATTAAAGGTCAATATTGCAGCTTATTCCACAGTCGGTCTGGATGGAGGAATATTTTTAGCAAATAGCTGTTGTTAAGCAAACGCTTCTACAGTTTAATGCTTTAAAGTTAAGCGTTTCCTTTTAGAAATAAATCTGCAGTCAGAATTGTAGCATCTTGAAACTGATTTTGGGTTCATAACATGCAAGTAACATGGGAAATGATCATCTTTTACAAATACGTTTTTGACTGCATGCAAATCGGGACATTTTGATACTATTTTACACTAATTTGCCCCAACAGACATCACCACCTGCATGCAAATCAAAAGCAATTTAATTCATTATTTATTTATTCAAATGTAATTTTCTTTGTTGTAAAAGCAACCAATCTTATAAGTAGAAATTTATGGATCAACTTTGGCAAAGTTGAATTTTACGCATCATTACTCCAGTTTTAAGTTTCACATGTTCCTTCAGAAATCATTTTAATATAATGATTTGCTGCTCAAGAAACATTTCTTATTACTATCGATGTTGAAAACAGCTGTGGTGCTTAGTATTTTTGTTAAAACTGTGATACATCCTTTTTTTCTTTCAAGTTTTTGACTTCATGCAAATCTGAGGTAATTTTGATACTATTTTACACTAATTTGCCCCAACAGACATCACCACCGGTGTGAAAAAACAACATTTTCACTATTCATTTATTTACATCGTTTTTTTGTTGTTGTTTGTTTGCTGTAAAAGCAACCAATCTTGTAAGTAGAAAGTTATGGATCAACTTTGTCCTCAAAAATGTAGTGCCCATTTTTGTGACTCGTTCTAAAATAGGGTCTTGTTTCCTGATTGGTTCAGAGGCAGGAGAGGGGTGGGGTGCTCACCCTGTAGACTGCTCCCATTGGTGCTGGTGCAGGTGGGGGGCGGGGAGGTCTGTGGCCGGACGACAGGCGCGAAGGCGCTCTTCTGTTTGACTGCAGAGATCATATGGACAGCAGAGAATGAGAAAGGGCCCGCAGACAGAGAGATGGAAGTAGGGATGCATGAAGAAGAGAAGGAAGAGGAGGCATGAGGCTCCAATAGAGGACTGGAGGGGGTGACTGAAACAGACACACACACAGAGAAAAACACACACACACCCGCACACACACAAAGATGAGAGTTATGAGGTGGGTCATGCCGATTGTTAGAGGGTTAATTGAAGGGGAAGGGCTATGGAAGAGTGAGGCATACACACAGAGAAACACACACACACCCGCACACACACAAAGATGAGAGTTATGAGGTGGGTCATGCCGATTGTTAGAGGGTTAATTGAAGGGGAAGGGCTATGGAAGAGTGAGGCATTATGGGAATGAAACCGTGTGCTACCTGCATGGCAAAGTTGATCCATAACTTAGAACTCTTGAGGAGGATTTATGTCAATATAGTCCACCTTTGACTGCCAAATCACACTTTTGCAGAAGCATGAACATGGAAACCGCTCTTGTATTGACACACGTATACGTAAAGCATGCCAGAAGAGGATATTATCAGGACATCTAATATGCGGTCATCTGCATGCTTTGAGAGAAAGACAGGTAATAAAAACCACCGTACGCTAGCCAACAATCTTGGCGCTGAATCTTGAGAAGAAAGCTTGTGCTTTCTCACCAAATTGGAGCAAAACCCACAATGAATTTTCTTCAATGAAATTCTAATTGAAAACTCTTGCCAACTTGTTTCCCATTTTTAGAATGAATGGAAAGCAAACCTGCCATGAAACAGCTTTGCACAAAGCTCGGCCTGTCAAACAAGTGGCAATCACACAAAATACAGCTGCTATATATCGAATATATGAACATTCTTGAGTATATAAACCTCATTTGTAATTGTCAGGCCTCCAGCATTGTGATTTTTCCCCCCAATAACAGTAGCAGCAGACGTATCTACAGGAAACTGCAGACAGAATGCTCACTATCCTGACCGCAGGGAGAAAGCGAGCGTGCGACGGAGTGAGATGCATGGAGGAGTCGTTAAAGTGTTAGACATGAAAGGAGATGAAAAAATAAGAGTGTTTGTGGAGTTAGTTCGGATGAAGACATTCACAGTGCATGGAACAGCAAACAGACAATAACCTTTCCCTCAAAGAACACGAATAGACAAACAAACAACCTTAGTATTTCAGATTAGCATTAAGACGCTGACTGAGTTGTGACCAAATATGCCTGTTGTGATCACCAAAATCACAAAATGCAAGCTTTTTAGACTCACAATAGTCGAATTTAGCTGGTTAAATTCAACAAATCAGAATCCAAAACATGCAGTGAAGAGTTAACTACCCTGCTGAAATGACTAGCATGTCTTATCTAACATTTCCAGGCTGGTTTGTAGCTGGTGAATCGGTCTACACTCTTTAAAATAAAGGTTCTTCACTGGCGTCAATGGTTACATGAAAAGGTTCTTTATAGTGGGAAAATGTTCTTCAGATTATTAAAATGTTCTTCACACTAAGAAAATAACTGTTCAACCCAAAATAGGAGTTCTACACTCTTAAAAAATTAGGTTCCAATAGGGGGTTTTCACAGTGATGCCATAGAAGAACCATTTTTGGTTCCCTAAAGGACCTTTCAGTGAACAGTTCTTAAAAGAACCATGTTTTTCTTAGTGTGAAGAACATTTATTATAAAGAACATTTGCACTACAAAGAGCACTATAAAGTGCAAGTTTCCATGGATGTTAAAGGTACTCCATGGAACCAATGAAGAAACTTTATTTCTAAGAGTACAGAGGAACCAATTCTGGTTCCCCAAAGAACCTTTCAGTGAACAGTTCTTAAAAGACCATTATATGGCGTTTCTGTAAAAACTCCCTTAGCTAGTAAAGGCTTGAGACTAGCTGAAAGTAAAAAGTATTGTTAGTCAAGAAGGCCAATATGCTGGTCTTTTAAGCAGAAATGTCAGGATCTGTTAGCTGATCAACAGAACACTCACTTGCGTAAGGAGAGTTGGCGGCGGATCCGTTGAGGAAACTCGGGGATCCAGGGACGCCCAGGTTGGTCATCCCTGCGGCTCCGTATCCATTCATGCTGGAGGTGATGGTGTTGTAGTTGGACTGCTGGGGTGTGGAGCTCGGCACGTACCCGCGAGGAGACACGCTGTTCGAGTTACGAGAGTAACCTGGAATGTAAGAGATGGCGACAGGTTAAGGAGGATGCTCTTGTAGACTGAAGTTCAAATATAAACCATGTCAGCACTGGGATTTATTATGAGTTTGCTTATTAAGACGCTTGATGTGATTTGTAGATGTTGCGGTTGGACTAATGTGTGTCTGTGACATGCTGGGTTTGTGTTTCTAGTGGGTGGGATCCCTTGGTAAGTGTGAGAACATTTTAAAGATTTCCGGCTGCTGTTAAGAAAGCACTCAGTACAGCAATCAGACAAAACTTTGTCTATGTTCCCATAAGCAGTGTGTGTGTTGGGGGTTTTGGACTCTTTTCACATGGCAGACAATATGACAAACAGGTCCTGGACCATACTGAGAAACATGGCTATCACAGAGCCAGTAAGTAACAAAACCTAGCAACCACCAAAAACACCCCAGCAATAACCCTGCACAACATTGGCCTGCTAGTCATCACAACATACATGCAAGCATTGTGGTAAGTTTTGAACAGACATTTCTTAAGGAAACATCATATTCTTGATTTCTTTTTCCTTTTTTTCCCTGTACTATTCACAGTCAGCCAAAACTCAACAGGAAGCGATGAAGACATTCACAGTGCATGGAACAGCAAACAGACAATAACCTTTCCCTCAAAGAACACGAATAGACAAACAAACAACCTTAGTATTTCAGATTAGCATTAAGACGCTGACTGAGTTGTGACCAAATATGCCTGTTGTGATCACCAAAATCACAAAATGCAAGCTTTTTAGACTCACAATAGTCGAATTTAGCTGGTTAAATTCAACAAATCAGAATCCAAAACATGCAGTGAAGAGTTAACTACCCTGCTGAAATGACTAGCATGTCTTATCTAACATTTCCAGGCTGGTTTGTAGCTGGTGAATCGGTCTACACTCTTTAAAATAAAGGTTCTTCACTGGCGTCAATGGTTACATGAAAAGGTTCTTTATAGTGGGAAAATGTTCTTCAGATTATTAAAATGTTCTTCACACTAAGAAAATAACTGTTCAACCCAAAATAGGAGTTCTACACTCTTAAAAAATTAGGTTCCAATAGGGGGTTTTCACAGTGATGCCATAGAAGAACCATTTTTGGTTCCCTAAAGGACCTTTCAGTGAACAGTTCTTAAAAGAACCATGTTTTTCTTAGTGTGAAGAACATTTATTATAAAGAACATTTGCACTACAAAGAGCACTATAAAGTGCAAGTTTCCATGGATGTTAAAGGTACTCCATGGAACCAATGAAGAAACTTTATTTCTAAGAGTACAGAGGAACCAATTCTGGTTCCCCAAAGAACCTTTCAGTGAACAGTTCTTAAAAGACCATTATATGGCGTTTCTGTAAAAACTCCCTTAGCTAGTAAAGGCTTGAGACTAGCTGAAAGTAAAAAGTATTGTTAGTCAAGAAGGCCAATATGCTGGTCTTTTAAGCAGAAATGTCAGGATCTGTTAGCTGATCAACAGAACACTCACTTGCGTAAGGAGAGTTGGCGGCGGATCCGTTGAGGAAACTCGGGGATCCAGGGACGCCCAGGTTGGTCATCCCTGCGGCTCCGTATCCATTCATGCTGGAGGTGATGGTGTTGTAGTTGGACTGCTGGGGTGTGGAGCTCGGCACGTACCCGCGAGGAGACACGCTGTTCGAGTTACGAGAGTAACCTGGAATGTAAGAGATGGCGACAGGTTAAGGAGGATGCTCTTGTAGACTGAAGTTCAAATATAAACCATGTCAGCACTGGGATTTATTATGAGTTTGCTTATTAAGACGCTTGATGTGATTTGTAGATGTTGCGGTTGGACTAATGTGTGTCTGTGACATGCTGGGTTTGTGTTTCTAGTGGGTGGGATCCCTCGGTAAGTGTGAGAACATTTTAAAGATGTCCGGATGCTGTTAAGAAAGCACTCAGTACAGCAGTCAAACAAAACTTTGTCTATGTTCCCATAAGCAGTGTGTGTGTGTGTGTGTGTATTGGGTGTTTTGGACTCTTTTCGCCTGGCAGACAATAAGGACCGGAGCATACTGAGAAACCTGGATATCACAGAGACTTGCGAGTTGACTTAAGCCAGTAAGAAACAACCCTAGCAACCACCAAAAACACCCCAGCAATAACCCTGCATAACAATGGCCTGTTGGTCATCACAACATACTTGCACGGTGGTAAGTTTTTAACAGACATTTCTTAAGGAAACATCATATTCTTGTTTTTCGTTTTCTTTTTTCCTCCTGTACAATTCACAGCCAGCCAAAACTAAACAGGAAGTGAAAAGAGAGAGCTTTGAATACCACTTGGCATCCATCTATGTCCACTGTCTGGGCCTTAAGCTTAATTCTCATATTGAACAGTTGAGAAAGAAAGGGAGAGAGAGTAAGAGGAAGAAGAGAAAATATTAATTTAAGCAATAAATAAATATATTTTAAAAAGTGCACTGCAAAAATTAATTTAAGCATTAATCAAAATGTCTAAAGTCACACACACACACACACACACACACACACACACACACACTTTATAATGATATTAAGTTTGTCCAGAGCGTTGTGTTTCCTCTGACCTCCTGTCTCTGCGTCTCACTGCTGCCCCCTACAGGCAACACCATCACCTGCGCTGGCGACAACCAGAAAGGCCTGAGAAAGACAGAAAATTCGTACTGTAACAATTAAAAAAAAACACTGAACTCACACACACACACACACACATTTACTTAGCTATCTAAATGGGGACATTACATAGACTTCTATTGTTTTTATATACATACAGTTATACACTTTTTAACCTAAACCAACCTCTATCCCTAACCCTAGCTCTCACAGAAAACTTTGTTTACTTTATTTTTATACCAGTTTTACAAATGAGGACGTCCTCAAATGGAGGTTTTTGGTGATTTTGTCAGGTTTTGCTTACTTTTGGGTACACATTTGTCCCCAAAATATGGTTAAGTAGGCACACACACACACACACACACACACACACACACACACATACTACCATTCAGAAGTTTATATTTTCTATGTATTTATTTTATTAAAAATACTGTAAAAACAGTAATATTATGAAATATTAATACAATTTAAAATAATTTTAAAATAATATTTTTTATGTAATTAATTCCTGTGATGGCAAAGCTGAATTTTTTTTTATTTCATGACCATTTATCAATAGAAACTTCAAAATATCAGCAATTATTGCAATATAATATTTTTGTAACAATGCAAAGGTCTTTAGTTTAAAAAAGTTATAAAAAAAGTTCAGTTATAAAGCTCACTAGTTAAAAAAAAAGCAATTGAATCTTGTTTTAAATATGTTTTACTAAGAAATTCAGATTATAAAAAAAATATATATTTTTTCTAACTGACAAAATCAACATCTTTTTTAACATGTCAGAGTCACGTGAGTGCCAACATGACTGCCATTATAAGCTGCAAATATCACTCGTCAGCAGAGTCGATGCTGGTTAATCTGAGACCTTCCCTAAATAAACTGTGCTCCTATGTGGTTTGATAAGCTGCAGGAAAGAGGTAGTGTTTTCTGTAAATCAGTTTGCAACTTAATTAGAACTTGAAACAATAATTAGTTTGATGGATGAACGAACGGAGCAGCAGGCTAACCGAATTAAATCCTGCTGAAGTTTCACTGCATACAAGCATGAAGTATGAAATGCAATATTTTTATAATGGCTAACGGCCCTTTCCCATGACCTCATGGATTCCTGTAGGTGTTCCTTTCCTGCGTGAATGAGGAAAACAGACGAGAGGAAAACGGGATGAGTGCTAGCAGGAGAGAAAGCAGAGGGTGTCAAGGGAGAGAGAGTTTCTCTGTCTTCCTGTGTCTCTCTCTCTCTCTCTCTCTGATATAAGGAGAGTGATCTGTTCATCTCACATCCATTCCCACTTCCTGTCTGTGAGTGTCAGAGCTGGTGGGTGAAGAGAAACATGGCCCGACGCTGTGATATTGAAAACACACTTGTGCATGGAAATGCTCATACGCATATGCAAATCCAAAGCAGTGTTTCCCCTAGGTTTACGGCTTTTATTCCGTTTTTTTCCCCCCGTTTTAATTTTTCTGGACTCCTTTTTAATGATTAAATTAAATGTTATTAATCAAAAAGCATGCCTAATTAATTAAAATCATGAAACTTAAACAATTTAACATCAATTTACTGCATATAAAACCATCAGCTTCATTGAAATGACTTTCATACCTGATTGTTATGAGGCATTCCATACAGCGCCTCCACCAGGTCTGCAGCTCTTTTCAGAAGAACCTCCTAATAAAACACACACACAAACACAGTTTAGTCCAATACTCCAGCTCTGGTACTGTAAATCAACATGGTTTGCATCCATAAACAGCACAGTAAATCCATAAACAGCACCATAAGTGGAGCACCATGAAAACGTATAATTATAATAAATAAATAATCTTTATGTTTAAAATTTAACCAGTTATTTACTATACATAAGCAAGTTGTGTTCAAAAAAGAGAAACCAAACATGTGATGAGGCGGACAGAAAAGGAAGCTGTTGGAATCTCATTTACACCAACCTGTCACACAGAACACACACTCAACCTGTGCCAAATCACACAAGCAGTGATCCAGGGCTGCAATCCTTTCAGACTGTACACATATGCTCCACTGTCATTCTTCACACGGCGTGTGTGACTGTGTGTGTTTGTGCGTGTTATAGTGTTCCTGTGTAAGTCACACATCTCCTCGGCCCACAGACTCACTCTGGTCTCACTAAGAGTACCAAAACCAAGACAGGACAAGAGCATCTTACAGCGGCTTCTTATGCATAATCATTTTCCATCTGCTACATCTGCACTGAATTAAAGTCTAATTTTTCATCATTTTATCTCCTGTCTTCACCTCCAGGACATCTCCTTTCCACTTCATAGGCGGAAGCATCAAATTATCACTCTTGCCCAATACTTTGTTTCTATCTATTTAACTTTTTACAATAATTTCTGTCATTTCTACTCAATGTTTTTATGATCTCATCAGTACACATTATTGCAAAGATATAATGAATATATATATATATATATATATATATATTCCTAATCATGGGATCTTTAATACTATATGTTGTCCCGCAGAAAAAAAATTGTTGTTCAGAAATACACAACTATTAAAAAAGTTTGGATTTTGAAAAAAAATCTCTTGTTCACCGAGGCTGCATTTATTTTTATATAACATACAGTATAAACAGTAACGTGTGAATTTTATTACAATTTAAAATAACTGTTTTCTAATAAAATTTATTTTAAAATGCTATTTATTCCTATGACAACGAAGCTGAATTTTCAGCATCATTACTCCAGTCTTCAATGTCACATGGTCCTTCAGAAATCATTTTAATATGTT